GTATGGATGTCTTATATTGACCTTGTACTGCATAGTGTGACCGTGGACGACCTCACTGTCTAGCTTGTAAGTTTTTAGCTTCCACTTACCCCGTCATATCAACGTGAGCTTACAATGAATAAGGTATAAAGAGGCAGACTGAATGCCGATATGCACATGTTGCCAACCTTCTTGAGTATGACAATCAAAGTATTCCAAAAGCTCATTTCGTGATCGAGGTACTGACATCCACTCAGAGCCACTTCAAGAACTGAAGCCAATGGGAGGCGTATGACCAAGCCTCCTAAAAAGAAGCTCACAGGACTGGAAAACCACTCTCCAATCCCGAATATTGCTGACAGAGGCAATGAACATGAGACTTCGTCCAGGGGAGCAATAGCCTTATCTACGGGACTCTTGTCCAACGTGCCATACTCGATTCCCAAAGCCAGCAACGTGTTTGGTATTGGATCGGAGCACCCTTTTGCCAACTATTGGACTTGTGAAGGAGGCTTGCCCGAGGTCGTTTCGGTACTCCCTGACAAAATCCAAGCCGACATTCTCATCAATCGGTATTTTGAATGCGTCGACCCCGTCTACCCGATGCTTCATCGACAAACCTTCTATGCCGACTATGAGCACTTTTGGCAACTCCCTTCCGAGGAGAAGAATGAGGCTGACCCTGCCTTCGTGGGACTCATATTTGTTATGCTTGCATTGGGGACGCAATTTGTTACCTCGACTTCTCCCCGGGATCGCAAGCAGACTGCAGAGTTTTATGCATCTGCAAGCAACCAGGCCTTGCGCATGTTCTCATATCTCAGCGCTGCATCCATTAGGTCCATCCAAGCAATGGTTCTGATCACCTATTTCTTGATCAATGACAACCATGCTTCCGATGGATGGGCTTTCGCCGGGATATTGATACGACAGGCATATGCTATGGGATTACATCGCGACCCTAAAATCGGTATGACTGAACGAAGTGACAACACCCGTTGTGAGAATGCTAACATTGTCGTCGTAGTGACACCGAATGCTACTCCTTTTGAACAACATCACAGAAGGAAATTGTGGCAGGCCGTGCTGCTGCAAGATACATTTCTCACAGTTCTCCTGTCATTACCGCCGTCAGCAACACATACTGATGTGCTGGTGGACGACTTGCTTGAAGATGGAGCGTCTATCGCGAGTTCTGATCCTACCGATACAGCCTATGTTCGGGCTTCTTGGACGCTGGCCAATCTGGTACAAGAAACGATCTGCTCACCGCGCTCGTTGGACCTACCTATATGCGCCACAGCGAGGCACAAATCCAAACTAGTAGCGGACTTTCGAGCAGTCTATAGATCGTTTCCGGACGTTTTCCGGTCCTGGGATCCCGATAGTCTGTCCAGTCTATCCAAGACCAACAAGCGGGTTGTACGGCAGACGTTATTCCTGACCAGCAATTACTTCCACAACTTGATGCTTGTGCATGCATCGGAAAGCGCAGAGGTCCCCGTCAACGTGCGAGGCACGCTTGAAGCAGCACACGAGGCTATTGCCGCCTTTTTCATGCTGTTCAACCTACTAGAGCCCGAAGCACGGGTGTGGTGGGTTTTCAACCATCGAGCATTTCTGGAAGCTCTCTGTATTGGAAATGTTCTTCGCGAGACCTCCAAAGAGGTAGGAGGAGATGATTTATTAGCCCGCGATCCGTTATTCGTAAGGGCAAAGTCTGATATCAGTAAGCACGCCCCAAAAGGATCACGATTTATGAGCTAACAAGACACAGGTCGGATGATCCAAATTATGGAGATAATGGGCGATGAGTCTGAAGTTGCGCGGACACGGGTTCAGGTATTGAGCGAGTTTCTCAACTGATTCTCTCTCTCTTTTTTTTCTTGTTTCCTTTTTTCATCTAATAAATAATAGTATTTATTGACCATAGTGTAAATATATTCACATACTTGTCATTCTGAAGAATAAGGAATCCAGATTTTGCATACCCTTGTCAATGGAGTCCTGTGGGATATTGGCTCTGACTCACTGATGGTTCGACATAGGACACATCTCAGTTGGTGGAGAAATTTCCGTGTGTCTTCTTGAACACGTTGTGCAATATCCTGGGCTGAAAAGAGAAGACCAGAGGAAGAGGTCGGCCTGGGTCACTGTGATTGGTTCATGGTGTTGTTCATGGATGCAGCCAAGTGAGGTGGGGGTCAAGATGGGTCCCGGGAGGCGGGAGAGTGGAACGATCGGTGCACAGCCCCCTCCAGCTCGTGGATTGCCTGCCGCGTCCCGATTTCATCCTTTGGAGAACAGATCGGTCGGTTGACGTGGCACGTCGTTTGGGAATTTCGAGTATACTTGCTAAGGGCTAGATACTGTGCAAGGTCGATATCGGATAGAGACTGATGCTGATGATATGACCACCACTCCTCGGGGAACGCAGAGGCTGAAAGCTACCTAGCCTAGAGGAGTCCAGCTAGCCACAACGGCTACAAAAGGCACGGCAATTTAGTGGACGGAGCAGCGCGTTGGTGGAAACGGGGTACCTTGCCCGACGCAGTGGCTCAGCCTCACAGTGATTCGTACTGCCTCCCGCTTACATGGACTGGCCGCTTACACGGGTTTCTCGCTCCCGTCGAGCTAGTTCTAGGCAGCACAATTCCTCTCTTATCCTCTGGTCGGGTCCTGATCAAGTTCCTTTCTGCCTTACTACCTGTCAGGCTCTGGCCGTTTATTGCGAGCCCACCCCGCACCCTCCGTCCCGGCCGGTCCTTTGCTCTACCTACTCTTGGCTTTGGTCACGAGCAAGGGACGCGCATCTTGTCCCGTGTACAGTTTCCTTGATTGAGGAGGCCAGCCAGGCATCCTAATAATTTTTTTGTTTGTCCATACCTCCGTTTGGGTATACGTAAGGGAGTCGATTTCGAACTCGGGCGGCCTCTGCCTGAAGCCCACCACAATGCGTGGCGACGTCTCGCTCGCTGCCGCAGCGGCACTATCGCTGTTTACGCCACCAACAACGCTGGCGGCGCCTATCACCGCGCCTTTGTCTATTCCGTTCCATCTTTCATCCCGTGAGTTGTATTTCCGAGAAGTGGTAGTGGTGGTGGGGGAGATGCCTATTGTGTCTTGTAGTGGCGGTTGTGGACTGTATTAGACCAGCGTATTGACTCTTGAGGATGTAGGTGGCAGCCCTGATCTGCCTGTCACTCTTTCTATTGGCGACCATCGCAAGGTTCGTTTGTTTGGTTCTTGGTGGCTCTTCCCTTCGTGGTTGTTTAGATTTGCTTCCTAAAATATTGAAGACTGACATGTGTCTTTTGCCTCTTTGTGTAGATCGTTTGGCCGGATGCAGCGGAGTCTTTGCAACTATGCGACCCTAACCGCGTCACAATCTCAGGTCAAGCTCTGGCTGTCGAAGCAGACGGCTTGGGAAGGGGATCGCTGAAGCTCGAAGATGAGTCCATTGTCTCGGCCAACTGGACCCTTAATTGTGTGGAGGAAGATGGCATATCTGTAGAGCAGACTCTCAAGCTGGAGTTTGAGAGCGTTAATGGAGAGCCCGTAAAGAAGACAACTGGGTTTGTGGCCAGTTTTGGCTTCTGGGACGGCGTTAGTGAGAAGAAGAACCACCCCATCGTCTCGACAGACACCACAGATAAGTGCCACTCCTGGAACTGTTTCTTCCATGGCATCACCGACTGCCTCAAGAACAACCTCGCCTCGTGCCTCAAGGAGAATCTTCCCTCGTGGTACCCTGATGGCTCGTCGACGGGAAGGCCTTCGTCCTCGGCGACGGATGAAGCAGTCAAAGTCGATCACAAGAAAGTGTCCATCACCAACCACCCTAGCTCTACCGCAAAAGAAAAACCTATTAAGGCATCTACAACTCAACTCAGGCCTTCATCAATCCATCCTTCACCCTCCGCTACTGACTTCACGACCCTCGTCTCCGCTCTTGTGAGTATCTACATGCATGTCTCCAACTCAACTCGACTAACATAAACCCCCTTTAGCCACCTCCTGACAAATCCCTTGTCCTCTCCCTCGTCATGGCAGCGTTTGCCTTTGGCCTTTTCTCTCTCTTCAGCATCGGCCTTATCCACCGACGCATCGCCCCGCAGATCCGCCGTCGGCCGCGTCACCGTGAGACTCCCGAGGAGCGCCGCGCCCGCGTGGAGTCTCGCAAAACCCGTTTCCGTGCCTTCTTCCATCGTCTCTTCTGCGGCCTCTTCCGCTTCGAGGAGAAGGACGACCGGCAGCTGGAGGAGGGCCATGTGGCGCCACAGGGGAGAGATCTGAGGCGGAGCGAGTCGCCTAGCTCCGACGACGAATCGGTAACCATGGAACAGGAGCTGGCCAGATTCAGAGAAGCGGCCAACATGGTCAGCAGCCTGATTGCTTTCGAAGAGGGAAGAAGCGCGGCGAGCCAGCCGAGGCGCGAGGACTACCCTCTCGCCGCACCTCCGGCCAGACCTACGCCGGCACCCGCCCCTATCGATGTGCCATCTCCAGTCCCTCGCATCAGTTCTGATGACCCTTCCCTCCCCACGTATGAGAACGACACAGTGGATGGGTCGATGGTAGCAGATGGTTTCAGATATATCCCGGGCTCAGATTCTTACCCGGCTCCCACTCCTGGGGTGGGATCTCCGCTGAATTCCAACAGCGATCGACTTGGTTACGGCAACAAGGACTAAACGGTTAAACTTGACACATTCTTTATTTTTGTTTTTCTCTTGACAGGCGTACGGTGCATCGACATAATGACGGATGTTCTCCCCACATGTTAAATCTGGGATCTCGAAGGACATAAGGTTGGGTGGGTATATACTTAATGATTGATTTTTCCCGAAAGCTGGGATGAAAGACGGAGGAGCTGTAGATCAGACGACACGTCGAACATATAGCGTGATTGAATCACATTGCTTTTATTCTATGTAAAAACGACCCAAACCCCCAATGAGAAACCTGGTCGTCTCAGGGTTTTCCCTTTTGTTTATTCTATGATTTTCTACTTTATAATCTCAACCAAAGATGAAAGCTTCAAAGTTCTTCCTTACCCTCACCACTCCATACTCCAGACTCCAGCCTTTGATCTCGCACACTTTCCGGTACATTGCCTCGAGTGCCGCGTCCATCTGCTCCCCTGCGACATGCAGGTCGCTCTCCACTAGTAGTCTGTTATCCGGCACCTCGCGAATCACCTGTATGGACTTGGCGCTGGCCGTCTCGGTGCTCAGGTTGACCGCCTCGGAGAAGGAGAAGAAGATGTCGGCGGGGATGGACGGGTGCAGCCACTGCGTGAGCACCTCGGGCGCGGCGCTGAACGAGTGAAGACATATTCTCGGCGGGAAGGGTTTCGACCATGCAGTCTTTTCCTTCTTCTTTCTGGAGCTGGAGGCCTCGTCATCGCTCTCCTCGTCGCTGTCCACTTCCGCGCCGGGGGCTACTAGTCGCTGCTTCCTCCTAGAGATGACTTCGCGCTCGTGGCCCTTCCAACAGGCCGACACGGTGCTGAGGAGCACCCCGTGGGCCTGAACACCGTGGACGCTGACCGCGCGGCCCATCTCGCCCGCGAGCTGGAGCTGGGCCCGCAGGACGGCCTGCTGGTGGCTCATGGAGACGCGATGCGGGCTGAGGAGGCGGCCCTCCCTGCCTCCCGGGGTGAGGGTCTCGTCTCTCGAGGCGGCGTCCGAGTCCTCCCACTCCCGCGGTATGCGGAAGGCTTTGTCGAGGCCGATCTCGCCTACGAGAGCGCTGGGGTGAGATTGCAGAAAGCTGCGTGTGGAGGAGATGAACTGGGAGATTGGTGTCGGCGTGGGCAGGGAGGCGAGGAAGTCTGGCGTGATGGTGCTGGGGGCGAGGACGGCGCTGTAGTGCTTCTGTTTTCTTTCCTCGGGGCCACCTGCTTCATCGGAGGGGTAGGTTGGGCTTGAGACCGAGTCGTCGTACAGCTGGTGCGAAAACCAGGGATGCCATCCAAAGGCTGGGATAACCAGGCCATCGGGTGTGCTGGACTGATTGGCAAGAGACTCGGAGTTGGGCACGCCTAACTCGTTGGACACTTGAAAAACTAGGCGCTGGTCCTGGGACCGGGTGGCCATGATGGTTAACGCTCGCGTGCGCATGTCTCTGATGGAGGCCGTGGAAGCTATCGTGTCTGTTGGATGGCAGTGGGCGTCAAAGGCGCCGAGGTGCCATGGGAAAGGGTCGGAATAGGCTGGACGGGCATATTGGCCTGATTCCTCGTGTGGTTGACACATTGTTTCGAGATGTGAGCCCTAGCCTGAACTCATCGGATTTCCCAACGTTGTGTGTCGTTGGATGATAGATGATGTGGACGTCATCGTTCTCTCGGGCTATAGGCTGCGAAGTTGATCGCCCCTCCCCGCCCCGTAACTGCTTCGCTCAACCTCTCCTGCTGTGTTGCCATCAACACATAAGGTAAAACCCGCCTTCATATTCTCGCAATAATACTTTTCTCAGTATCATCGCCTATCCATCCATGGGTGCATCTTCTGAGAGACCTCTTCGCCACCGCATTCTGCTTGGCTTAGCGTAGGAGAATCTGCATCTCACTCAACCAGCAGGTTTTGGAGAGCTCCCTCTCACATCAATGAGTTGGGAGAGGAGCATTGTTCCGGATCTTCAGTTTGCTCCGCGAACTGTATCGGCAACATACATCATCAATCGGAGGAGGGAGGGGGAGTGCAAGTACTGATATAACCGAAACAATATTGAAAGACACCTCCGAGATAAATTCAATTGAAACTAATAATCAAAACTAACGCAGCACGGCCAGAAACGATTGGAATAGACTTTGGGTATGCGCACGGCCGCACAGCTCTTTACATAGACAAGACGTCACTCCATTCTGGATACTGATCGAACATACCTAAGTTTCGCATGCTAGCCTCCAACACCTCTTGGAGCATCTCGATGCCAAAGCTGGTCATCGAGCTCGGAATTGTGCGATCTGAAGATCACGCCCGCAAAAGTAAGCCACCGGCACAGTGGCTGGTCTCGAATCAAGGGGACCCTGATCGACGCTTAACCCCAGACTTTCGAGGCCATCCCCACACGAGCTATCCTGCAAAGCCTCCCCGCACCAGACGAGGATGGCGTTTGCAAAGCTCCAGGCCAAGACAGCCAGTTCCTGTTGGTTTTCGTCGGCTACGACCTCGAGTGCCAATGGGGAGACATCCATCACGCCACCGACACTATTCTGCTGATAGCTCCAGGCCGGATGCCTCCACACGCTCATGCAACCACACCGAGGCGCGTTGGCATGTGACAGTCGCACTATCCAACCCACACCCCAAACACGGCTACCTTGTTAAGAAATGGCTGGCTTCCATCGTCCATCCATCCCATCTTCCTTCAGAGTTCATCAGTGTGCAATGCCAATGCCCACGGTCCCTCCTTTGGCCAGCGCACCACACACACTCGCCATCCGACACCCTCCCTCAACCGCCAACGGCCTCCAGGACGCATCTTTTCCCTCGAACGGCCTAGCTCAAGCCTACCTAATACTAGGTGCTACCTCGCCCTCTTTCCTGACACCATACATCCATCCCACCATAAAAGAGCAACGCCAGCAGCCAGCAACCAACCCGTCGTCTCCCCGTGTGCTTCCTGTCAGTTCGTTTATCTGAGTTACCACCCCAGCCATCCATCTCAACGGGATTCGCCGTCAGCATCATCATGGTCGCCGCGCGCGTGTGGTGAACTCAAGCTCGCTTATTGTTGTTCATTCCTATTGTTCGACTTGTCGTTTGCGCTCGTAGACATTCCAGGTTACAAAACCGGGCACCTCCCGACTCCCCAACACCTCTACCGGCAAGGAAAGCAACAATTACATTTAAAGGAAGGGGGCATTGAACCAAGTGACTGACCATGGGGCTATTCAATCCTGTCTATGCCCTTCTCATCCCCTCGCTACTCTTCGTAACGATACCTCTTGCTATCCTGGCCGGTCTCACCACCACCCTCGCCTTCTCCGTCCTCATCCTCCGCGTCATTGTTGTGTACCTTGACATCGCCCTCTCCGTCGTCCCCCAATCCCTCGCAGGCCGAGGCACAGCCTCCTTGCAGCAGCGTCTCGCCGCCTCGAGAAACGCCACCAAGACTCTTCCTTACTCTCAATCGTCTTCGCCTCTGCGCTCCTCTATCCGCCACCGCCGTCGACGCAGTTCCGTGAGCGCACTCTCAGGAGGTTCCACGTCCTCGCTCTCTGCAAGCGAGCGTGGACCCGGTCTGATCCCCAGCATCGGGCCTGAAAGAGAGTTTGAAGGTATAGGAGGGTGGCGACTGGGAGATGACGACGACGACGAGCTCTGGACCACCGTCAACGCCCTCCCAGACAGGTCTCTTGGACGGCATCATGGCAGGACATCATCCACAGCTCCAACCACCCCCGGCGAGGGCGGCTATCTCATGATGAAGGGCCGCACACACAGTCCCGAGGCCAGAAAGGCGGCATCCCCCAACTGCTCCCGGGCAAGGACGCCGACTGGGCCTCGAGTTGGTTTCGCAACTACAAACATGAATCAAAACGAAGGCGGGTACTTTGCACTGGTCCGCGCGAAGCAGTGAAGAAGCTCGGCAGCGGCGTGGGCGGATGAAGAAGGCATTGGCTGGTCAGATCCCGGCTTCACGATGTATGATGAAATGATAAAAGCCATTTGGCGTCTTGAGATTCTATAATGTATATCTTTTTCAGATTTGTATTTTAGCTTTAGCACATTGCACAGGTTGGCATTAGCTATAAATTTGATCATGGACTTCAACAACCATTTAATTTTATGAAACACCACAGACCAAGTGCCCAACGGGTGCCATTTTCATTACTCCTCAATCATTGGTATCATAAAAAGAGACAACGTCCTCCAACGCCACTAATCCAAAAGAAAACCGCACCAAGCAAAGTTCATAAATCGGAAACTCAGCACCACACACGCCACACCCCCCATACGCTGCGCGCATCTCTCACAACGTCGACCAGAAGTAATTGGCGTAAAAGTACCGCGAGAACTTCTTGTCCATGTTGACCACGTGCACGTCCCCCTTGCGGTCGTTCCTCACCACCGCCTTGGACCACTCCCCGTCCCTCTCGTCGCGCTCAATGTCGATCCCGAGGCTCCGGTACACCTTGAGCCGCAGGAGGACCTCGTCGTCCACCGCGTCCCGCCGCCTCGCGGCCTCATCGCCCTCGACGCCCTGGAGCTCCAGCTCCTGCAGCCGGGCGTTGAGGTCCGCGGCCTGCTGCGCGAGGCGCTCGGCCTCCATCTCCGCGTCGCTCGCGGCCTTGGCGGTGCGGAACTTCTTGGTGTCGAGCCGCGAGATCTTGGAGGCGTGGTCGGCGGACGAGTGCGCCGTGGAGAGGTCCTCGTACTGGGACGTGAAGGTGTTGAGCTGGCGGTTGAGCTTCTTGAGGGACGTCTCCTCGTCACGGAGGTGCAGGTCCCGGGCTTGCTGGAGGGTGGACAGAGACTCGCCGATTCTCGCCACGGCGAGCCTGTCTTGGGTGATGTTGAAGTTGTCGATTGTGGCGTGGATGAGCTGTTGGAAAGAAAGTCAGTCAGTCTTAGTCGCTGATCCCCGTTGCGGAGGTTGAGGGAAACTTACAGTAGCTGGCTCCTCCTCGAGCAACATCTTGGCTAGATTTCTTCTATTATCTCTTCTATGTGATTTGTCTCTTGTTCGTATGAGAATCTGCAAAGCAAGGCGGTGAATTGGTGGGATACGTAGAGTGCTTGCATGGACATGGTTGTTGTGGTCATTTTCAGAAGGTCTCCAGGGCGACGCGTCTTATCGGGCTCTTATCAGCCAGCCGCCAAACCCACTACCCGGGACTCGGCCCCCACCCAAGCTACGGTTGGGATCGGTTAAGCCATTTGCATAGCGTCATCACACGCCACAGAAGCCTCTCGGATAGTCCAGAACAAGGCTCCATCAGCCACACAAGATTGCTTCGGCTCCCAGCATCTTCCCTCAACACGACGTAACGGCTGCCCTCTGCACTCCGGTACCCCTCGCACCTGATCCTAATTTTTTTTACTTCTTTAATTCGAAGCGCCAAAACCGTCGGGAGAGAGCTACTTTCTCTCCACCCCCAACTTTCACAATGGTCACCGAACTTCCATGTGAGCTCTCTCTCCACCTTCGGGCACCGCCCGTCATACCCACTGAGAATATCGACTAACCTCGCAACTCTCTGCAAGATGCCCTCGACGCCGAGACGTTCGTCCACACTTCCCCTCCGAACTTGAGACATGTTTTCCCCTCCCGGCTAACCTCTCGCTAGTCCCTTGAGTCCCTCCGAGCTCAATGTCCTCCGCGCCCAGTACGAAAAGGAAGGGGAGATGGCGGGAGTTCAGACGAAATTCAACTACGCCTGGGTACAGCTTCCTTGCCCCTCTACCCCTCCTATCCAAATCCAACCCTTCACTCTCACTCTACTAACACATTGCACCACACTAGGGCCTCGTCAAGTCCAACAACCGCAACGACCAGCAGCTAGGCGTCCGCCTCCTCTCAGACATCTTCCGCCTCTCCCCCGAGCGCCGCCGCGAGTGCCTCTACTACCTCGCCCTCGGCAACTACAAGCTCGGCAACTACGCCGAGGCCCGCCGCTACAACGAGCTCCTCGTCGAGAAGGAGCCCGCCAACCTGCAGGCGGGCAACCTCCGCCAGCTCATCGACGACAAGGTCGCCAAGGAGGGGCTCATGGGCGTCGCCATCCTCAGCGGCGTCGGCATCGCCGCGGGTGTCGTGGGGGCCTTTATCCTCAGGAATGCCCGGAGGAGATGAGATATATATACACACATCACACAATAACAAAATAGCACGCAAACAATCCAAGGGATGAGAAGGAAACGAGTTTGGGGGTGGGGGGAGGGTTCAAGGTCGACGCAGAGCTGGGAATCACCTCTGAAAGCTACGATTTTTGAGTTATGGAGTACGGTTTGCAGATGGGGGGTAATTACACACTGGCATTAAAGCATATCACTCGCCTCGCTTGTACTATATGGGGAAATCATTTCTTCTTTCTTTGCTGCGTTAAATAGAAATAGCGACTTATCGCGCCGATTCTGTATCGAACAATGCCTTGTGTAAACAATCAAATTGTGACCGTGGCCATCTCATTGCTGGCTACAATGAATGCCAGCATAGAGAAATCGACGAGCAAGGAACTAACACATTCTTGAGACATGGAAGACCTTCAACTTAGGAAAAGAATTCACTGCGTGAGATGAGTCTGAATCTGGAAATGGTGTAAACGACAGTGGAATCAAGCTAGCTAAGGAAACAACAGAAGAGATATAAAGCAAACAAGCCGAGACATTGAAAATGACCTGTCCCAACTACATACCGTAAAATAAAATACAACAATTTTAGTTGACAACCTTCGCCGGCTCTCTGCATGCCTCCCACCTACCGACATTGTGGCCCATCATCAACTTAGGCACACAGGAGAGCTTTCCGATGATTGGGGAGAGGGGAACAACTGGACCGACATATCGTCCGCTGATGTTTCCGGAGATGAATAAATTAAAAGGAAACAATGAACAAGTGCGTTCAACACGTATGCAGGCGACAGATCCCGCGTCGGGTCGATTCTCGACGATGAACCCAGAAACCCCCAACCAAATCTCTCCAAAGAAACCCCTCCACCAGAGACGCAACGAATGTCAAGATATGCTCCCAAGTTCCGAATAAAGTAAAGCAAGGGCCACCAGCGTCCCTTTCCTGACACCTTCCACGCCTGCTTCTCATTGTGGTATTTGTTTTGGAATTTCGTAGCCAACGTGCCCCGCGCACTGCATGACCAATATTCATGGAAGAAATTAGGGCACTCGCCTTACGAGACATTCTTTTTCTTTCTCGGCGATATGATTAAGTGAGACGACTTGTATGATTATAGACAAAGACGTGACAAATGAAGCCACGAGAGAGAGAAAAAAAGAACAGAAAGAAAGGAAGAGCGTCGAGCTAGTATTGTATGGGCATCATGGGTACTCAGGCGTAGATCGTAGAAGAAATGAGAGGGGCGGGGCAGGTCACTACGCGTGTGGCCGTTTATCGCAAGGAGAAACCCTTGCGCTTGCCCTCCTTCTCCAATGGACGTCCGCTCTCGACGCGCTGCTTCTTCTCCTCGAGTTCGGCGCGTTGGCGCTCGAGCTGCTCCTTCATTTCTCTGTGTCGGGCGTAGAGCTCCTCTTCGGATTGCTTGAGCTTGCTCTCCTTCTCCGCAACCTTCTGCTGGAAGACCATCTTCATCTCGGCCTCCATCTTAGCTAGCTTCTGCTCGTGCAAGGCGCGCTCCTCCTCCTGCTTGACAGCAGGGTTGACCTCCTTGAAAACGCTGGGGTCTTGCGACACACCCATGGCAATGAGCTTGTCGGTTCTGTAGTTCTCGTACAGCAAGTTGTTCGTGTGTTCCTTGAGCTCTTCCATGTGGGTGCGGATGAGCATCTGTCGGAGCTTGACGAAATCACAGTGCTCCTCGTTGTCGACCTCGATGATACCCCAGGGGTACTCACGACCACGAATTTTGCGGCCATCGGGGGTAGCAATCTCGTTGGTGGCACCAACAACAGCGAAGGGGACCTTGGACATGATTTCGTTGTTCTCTGCGATCGTCTCCTCGTCGTCGAGCTCATATCGAGGGCCCTCGAAGATCTGGATGCCATGGTACTTGATGTCGGCAAGAATCTGTTTTATCGTGTTAACTACTAGACATCGGCTATTTCCATTGCAGTAAACTCACTCTAGCCTTGAAGCTGAGAATCTCTTCGTCTGTGAGAGTGTCTGACTTGGCGATAACAGGAATCAGGTTGACCTTGGTGTGAAGTCGGCGCATCACCTCAATATCCAGGGGCTTCAGGGAGTGGCCGGTGGGCTGGATGAAGAAGACGCAAGCGTGGATGCGGTTGTCAATGATATTGACACGGTTAACCTTGTTCTCAGCATCGAGATAGGCGTCAAAGCGCTGCTCAATGTTGTCGACAATAGGGCGCCAGGACTCATCGTTGTTGACGAAGTCACCGAAACCGGGGGTGTCGACCACGGTGAGGCGAAGGCGCACACCAGCCTCCTCAATATCTGCGCTGATTGACTCAATGGTAACGGTCTTGGGGATGATGTCGAGACTGGGTCCCTTGCGCTCCTTGGGAGGGTATAACGAGGTGTTGAACAGGGTGTTAACAAGGGTGGACTTGCCAAGACCAGATTCACCTGCGAAATCAATTAGCACCAAGAAAATTGACCATCAAGTTAGTGTACATACCAACAACCATAACGTTGAAGTTGAAACCCTTGCGAACACTCTTGCGATGCCACTGGTTGGGCAGGTTGGCAAATCCAACGTATCCAGTCAACTTGCGGCGCACGATATTCTTGTTCTCAGTGATGGCAGAGGACGTGGGAGCAGTGAAGGTGGCTGGGTCGGCAGAGGGAACTCCTTGGACAGACTCCATGATGTCGTCGGAGTGTGGCGAGGACGGTGCCACGGCGGGAGGGGCCTCGGTAGCTGGAACTCGACATGTTAGTTTCAGGCCTCGTCACACATAGAGTCTAACACTAATCAATTTTGGGCAGGGCAAGAGAGAGGTCCTGACACGATGCATCCTGGGGCGCTTGGAGCACTGGACTGGAAGGCTCGACATGTTGGCTCATCGCATTGTCGTCCAGATTCTTTGTCGTCTGCTGGAGTTGGGGTGGATAGAACTCGTCAAATGACAGCGGTTCGACAGATCGGATCCGAGGCGGCTCCTCAACCTCGAGCATACTGCGATATGGTCGGATTATTGGTGAGCCCTGAGACCTCGGCCGGGTCACCTTAGGCTCCTGGTCATGGACCCCAGACGCAGTCTCGTTGGTTTGGCATGGATCGCTCTCGTTGGCGGCCGCGGATGAAATGAGCGCTCTCTCGTCAATGTGAGCGCTCACGGGGCGCTGCTTGCCATGACTCCGTAGCCGAAATGCCATCGCAACGTCCCGATCTAGAGGAAATAGGTATAACGCGCTCGTTGCGTCAAGATCCAATGCTCAGGGGTCGGCCAAGGAGGGACCGGAGGCGCTTCAGCCGAGCTCGTGTTGGATTCTTCCACAGCAAATCCTATCCACATATCACGAGCTTGTTGCTGAAGTGATATGGACGTGTCCCCGTGGCAGACGCTCTAGCTCCCAGGAAAACGTGGCCCCCCATAGCACGGAAAGGGGGATCACTCTTGCCCAAATGCCCATTGCAGAAATGCGTAGAAGAAAGTGTTGCCTTACCCATGTTTAATTATAAAGAGCGCTTGGTCGGTCTAAAAGAGAACGGAGGGAAAGTGCAAGATCTAGTGTTGTCAACCTGTTAGCTTCTTGGTCAGGTACCGTCCAGGAGAACCTGATTGAGTCGGCCGATAGCGAAGGAGTGGTCGCTGGATTGAGAATGCCAGCAATGGACTCCTCTGGGAAGGGAAGCTGACAAGAGCTCGAGCGGAAGGTTCAAAGAGCTCCTCAGTTGTGGCAGGCTATTGTTTGGGCGCGCGAGGTAGAATTGGCTAGGTCATGTGGTGAATTAAACGTACCTGGAGAAAGAATAACGACGCGTCGAGTGTTTCTCCGGGATTATCGCAGAAACAAGACGGCCACAAAAGAATCGACGGTAGCCCTTGAGGTGGCGCAAGGTCAGTCGGGGTGAAAGGAAGCAACGATGGAGAAACGACGGGCGAGAATCAGAAAAGTGAAGTCAGGTGTGAAGGTCGAAGGGTAGGTAGGGGGTGGGTTGTCAGGCACGGGAAGTAGTAGGCGGCAGGGGATGGGGAAATTTTACTGCTGAGGTGGTCGGAAGCTGGCAGCTTGCACGCAACTAAGGTACCCTAGGCCATTACCCATACAAGAGGTAAGGGAGGTAGGTACACGTCCACTTAGGTGCTACCTGGTAATTTCGCCATTACAGTGCTTAAGTTGGCTGGGATGATCCCAAACCCCTTTCCCCCTGGCAGGACCTTCCTGCTGGACTCCTCCACTGGACGGCCCCTTTTGATCAGCCTGCTCTGCTTCTCTCCCTGAATCTCGGCTGCCCAGGTGCTCGTCGTACCCTGGTGCCACTGAATGACTGCTGGCTCGCCTTTAATGATGGTGGAAGTACATAAAAGGGGCTCGACAACGCTAAGCCCAGAGTGGCTAGATGTCCATATCAGGGGGAGACCTAGCCCAAGCTTGGTCTGGGGAGGACCATTATTTATCTTAGAATGTCTGGGTTCATGAAGTATGATGGCAAAGCTCTACATCATGCCGAAGGGCTCGGTGATGAGAAGAGCAGCTAGTGACCTGACAGAACGGCTATCCTGATTACTAGTGAGGTTCTGAACGTTGGCGCCGGTAAGAACGGTACAGCGACACATGACGGGCATCCCTTATCCATCGAGCTATGCGCTATGCGCCGCTCCTCGCGTCCCAAGTCCATTGGAATCCAAGGGACGTGTTTCCTCCAAGGAGGATTGGCACTCGTCCCAGTTTTCTGTGCATGGCTCCCTGGCGCCGTTGAATTAAACCGCACAATCTTCACCAATGGGCGAGCTGCGTCAATGTCTATCAAGGTCGCACACCACAAGTCCCAAGTATGAACGTACCATCCAAACCCAATATGGTATGAAAAGTACTGCTGCATGTGTTTTGGGAGCAAAGCGACTCTGCCAGAATTGCTCATGCAGTTTTCGTTGCCCAAATTATGATGTTTTGCGCACGTATTAGCAGCTCTTCTCAATGATTAGAGGAGTTAGATCATGTCGCAACAGCCGCGAGCCGCTGACGGTGGCAAATGCGTGGCGTTTCGAGCCAAATTCCTCTTGTGTCACTTTAACTCGAGAATTAGACCACCCGAAGCGAGTCTTGACGGATTGACCATGGCTGCCGTGTGTATATTTAAATTATGCGTGCGAGGCTAAGTCCCACAACCTAGGAAGAGACCTACGTATGATCAGCAGTGGCTGCGGTATTCTGTAGCTACCTACTCACTTTGCAGCCCTACTGACGGTTGGGCCATAAACCGGCAATTTGGTCTCAGCACGCGCAACGTCACCCGCCATTCCGGCAAGTGCGCGATGTCTCATGGACAAGTACATACGAGGTAGATAAGCATACTGATTGCTTCTTATTGGGGAGACTGGAGTTGAGCAGCGCATTGTGGGGCTTTTATACGAAACAGACTCGTATTGATGTCTATCTTGCTGCACAAGTTGCATGCTACCTTTGACCGTCATGGAAATATTGCAAACAAATCCTAGACGCGAGTATTGAATCATAGCGTCGACTACTCGGTCATCTTTGGCATGCGCATTGATCAATCAGATAGGTTCGCGTTGTCCACAGAGTGGTATCATGTAAATATTACACGTTGGTGCTACAAACTGTCACCGCCGGGTGAAATGGGGAAAAAACCGGCTTCTTTTACGCTATTTGAGAGAACAACTTCTCCTGCTGGCCAGCAAAGAACTTCTTAGTCTCGGAGCACCTTTCGCTCTTGCACGCAGGACATCGGAGGCCTAGTTGCTGAGTGGTGGTCGATCCGGTGCTCAAGTGCTCCTTCGCAACATCTGCTAAAGCCTGGATGAATACAGGACTTCCATTCAAGCTCTCTGCCCGCTTCACCGTATCTGTATGGCCACACTCCCCGATGACCTCCAGGTCAAGTTCGTATAGTGTTTCAATGTGGTCAGATGTGAAGGCGATAGGAATGAGGACCAGATCTTTCTGCCCCTTCTTGATATAGTCCTCCACGGTATTCGAAGTCTGCGGGCCGAGCCATGCCGAGGGTCCAACTTGTGATTGCCAACAGAGTCTATAAGGGTTGGAAAACTTGAGCCGCTGCATCACAGCATACACTGTTGCTGCTACCTCGGCAGGGTAGGGGTCACCTATAAGCAAATTAATGGGAAAGCTCATAAGCAGAAAAAATATATATCACGTACCTCGATTGACAACAGACATCGGCAGGCTGTGCGCAGAGAAAAGCAAGACGACATCCTTCCGTCGCTCTTCGGGATATTCGGCCAACTTGGCCTCGATATTTTGAGCAAAAGCCTCCACCAACCCATGGTGAGCCGGCCATCGATCAATCACACTCCAGTTGATCGTCCCATCGATGTTGCCAGCGCTCTTTCCCTCAAGCCGGTTCCTCCATTTCCACAGCTCATTTAAACTGCTGCCAGTCGTAGAGCATGAGTATTGGGGGTACTGAGTAAAGGCAACAGCCCGACCACCTTTCCCATTGCCAAAGCCATCCGCAAGCAGCTGGCTATACATTTCCTCCGTCAATGGGTTTGCATAGCGGAAGGCCACGTAGGGTTTATGCGGCGCTGTCTCCGGAGATATCTTGTCGAGAATTTTACACATCTCAGCATTCTGATACTCCGACCACTTGCGAATAGGTGAACCGCCACCAATTTCGGCATATTGCTTCTCGATCTTCGGCGTTCGGCGTTTCGAAAGTAGAGGGCCAATATAGGATTGAAGTCTTCCCAGGGGTATCAGGTCGCCATCCGACTGTACTCCGGCATTAGCAGTTGGCTGCAGGGTGTGCAGAGGGACATGAAGCATACAAAAAGCCGGCTCAGAAAATCACCGACTTCGTCCGTCGTGGAGGGACCACCCATGTTCAAGAAGACCATAGCTGTTGGGCCCTTTGAACCGGTCGCATCCTGTGTGACTGGTCGCACTGGCGTTGCGAGATACCGTCTTTGCCCGAATTGTGGTAGGAGGTGAGCAGAGGGGCTTGAGCAAGCACTTCTGGATACCCGGTTCAAGGATAATCTGATAGACATGGTGAAATGGATTGGCGGATCGCTCAGCTTGGCGAATCGCAAGGGCTCAGCAACTTTTTAGAGAAAGGACGGCGGATTATCAGGCATCAAAATTTCTCAATGAAAGAAATGAAATTAAACAAAATTAGGCGGATAGACCGTCAGAATGTATGGAGACAATTGTACAGAACAGCTTTTTCGATGACCTCTATGAATCGGGATTCGAAATCACCGAGGCCTGCTCTCAAGATCGGACTGCAGATCGCCGCGGAGCATCATTGTTAGAGGGGTACCTACATTTGGCACTATTATCGGCAGCGGAACAGGTACTGTGTATCGCGGCCCATTGCCCAATGAAGCACCTGGAAATGTCATCTTAGCTTTGTTCACGTGATCTCGCGCACTCCTTCGCGGACCCTTGTCCTATCTGGCGCGACCGCGTTTGCCTGGAATATGCTCCACTTTGCCTGCCTAGAGTGAGGTGAGAACTGACATTATAACGCCAAACTGCCGCTGCCAATTCGAGTGAAGCTTCCAATCCCTTTTTCAACTCAATTTCAATTGCACGGAAAGTAGCGCCATAATCACTATGTCGGGTGGAGATCACGGCTGGAAACGAGAGGAGGAGGATGAGGCGGATCAGGAGATTGACGAGACTGTAAGTTATCATGCTAACATGTTGAGCCAAACGGGCCACTGATATCAAGTAGAGCTATAAGACACAAAAGGATGCCATCCTACTAGCAATTGAAGTCAGCGAGTCAATGCTGGAAGCACCTCCAGCGTCTAGTTCGAAAAAGGCAGATCGCGATAGCCCAGTTCAGGCTGCCTTAAAGTGTGCTTATCACCTAATGGAACAACGCATCATCTCTAACCCCAAAGACATGATGGGTATCCTTCTGTTTGGAACGGAGAAGTCTAAATTCCAGGATGACAATGATGGTCGCAAAGGGTTGGGTTATCCCCACTGTTATTTATTCACTGACTTGGACGTTCCTGCTGCCGAGGATGTGAATAAACTGAAAACACTAGCTGAAGACGGTGAAGATGAAGACGAAGTGCTGAAACCGACCTCTGAAACTGTTTCAATGTCAAATGTCTTCTTCTGCGCCAACCAAATATTCACCACCAAGGCCGCCAATTTCGGCAGTCGCCGACTCTTCATTGTCACTGACAACGACTCACCGCATTCATCAGATAAGGCTGCTAGGTCTGCTGCAGCTGTGCGAGCGAAAGATTTGTATGATCTTGGTATTACAATCGAGCTATTTCCTATTACCCGGGGCGATGAGCCATTTCAAGTTGGAAATTTTTATGAGGTACGTTTTACCTCAAACTGGGTTTCACTCCAGCACTAACCAAAGTCTATGGAAACAGGACATCATATATCATGAGAATTTCGGAGAAGCTAACTCCACAGACGTCCGTTCGTCAAAATCTGGAGACGGGTTGACTTTGCTCAACTCGCTCATCGCAAACATAAACTCGAAACAATCCGCCAAAAGGGCACTGTTCTCAAATGTACCTTTTGAAATTGCCCCAGGGCTCAAAATTTCTGTCAAGGGATACAATATCGTTCATCGACAGACCCCTGCCAGGACTTGCTATATTTGGCTTGACGGCGAGAAACCCCAAATCGCTATCGGGGAGACCACCAGAGTTGCAGAAGACAGCACCAGGAATGTGGAAAAGCAAGAAATAAAAAAGGCTTATAAATTTGGTGGCGAGTATGTTTATTTTACTCCTGACGAACAGAAAACCTTGAGGGATTTCGGCTCTCCCACGATCCGTATACTGGGATTCAAGCCCCGAAAAGCTATACCCATATGGGCGAGTGTGAAGAAAGCTACTTTCATATTCCCAAGCGAAGAGGATTACGTTGGATCAACTCGCGTTTATTCCGCCTTGTGGCAAAAACTCCTCAAGGACGACAAAGTAGGAATTGCTTGGTGTATTACCCGCTCAAACGCCCAGCCAATTCTTGCAGCCATCATACCATCAAAGGAGCAGTCTGATGACGATTCAGGCACCCCGTACCTGCCATCAGGGTTATGGATATACCCGCTCCCTTTCACGGATGATATAAGGGAGATCAAAGCTCCAGGCGAGCTTGCCAGGAGTTCGGATGATCTCACAACTCAGATGAGAACTATTATTCAACAACTTCAGCTACCGAAGGCCATGTTTAATCCTAAAAAATACCCAAATCCGTCCTTACAATGGCACTACCGAATTCTCCAGGCACTCGCGCTCGAGGATGAGGTGCCAGAAAAGGTCGAGGATGCAACAGAGCCCAAGTACAAGGCTATAAGCAAACGCGCCGGTGGTTATTTGGAAGATTGGTGGGAAACACTAGAGAAAGAGGCTGGCAATGCCAAGCAAGCCAAGGCACTCAAGAGAGATCCGGATGAGGCTCTTCCCGAGCGGCCGGCCAAACGAAGTCGTGCAGGGTCTGAGAAACCCAGTGGATCTAGTCTCAGCCAAGCGCAGCTCAAAACTGCAGTCGAAAATGGGACCCTCACTAAGATGACGGTGGCACAGTTGAAGGACGTACTTGGTGCCAAGGGGCTAAGTACATCAGGGAAAAAGGCAGATCTTGTTGAGCGCATAGAGGAGTGGGTGGAGCAAGGTGTGTAGGTGCTGGCTACCCGCTCCTTATTTATGTTATTGATGAACTCTTTTTTTGTTTGTATGATATACGTCGCTTAAGACTTGCTTGTAATAGTATTGCCAATGCCTTAATCCAGTTTGCGCGTGCTGATGCTCCCAGTTATCAGGCGTGTGGGAAGTGATCTCAGCGAGTTTGACGACAATGGCGCGAATTGCCGGCAATCAGCTTGCTCTACGCTTTGGCCTAGTTTACGGATTTCTATTGGCTAGGTAGGAATTAAAGAGTCCTTCGAATTACTGGTATCTCCAAGGCCGTCTTGAAGGTGTATGACTTTTCAGGTAAGAAGTGTTCTATGACGAAGTATCAGCCGGCAGCATATCAGTTAAGTCTCTGATTAACCTTGGATTCAACCACATGTTGATAAAATCGCCGAGAAATATATAAACGAACTAATGTTCATAGTATTATCAACAATATATAATAAATACCTTAACTGAGAATTGCATTCGTGATTCCAACGATTCATTAACGAGCAAAGCTCTAGGGTAGCAGCTGAGAGTGGCAGGCGCAAACCTCCCCACGATGGGCGATACACGTGACCAGGCGCCGCCAAAACACCCTGTAGGCTCACCAACTGACGAGAAGGTCAGGAAGACCAGTCGCGCTTGCCACAAAGCGCAGCATCCCAGGTCGGACGTCGCACAATCCTCTCATGACCGAGAAGGATTGGACGTCCAGCGACTACATGTTCGAAGAAGACGCGTTTAGACGACATAGCAGGCCTTGACCAGCCGCAGCGATGGCCGACTTCCTGGCCAGCTTCAACTTCGGCCAGGCCGTACCAACTGCAGCCGACGACTCCGCATGCCATTCCATTGACGACATCCAGGCGCATCTGCGCAACACATTCGAAGCAAAGGTCACACCCACCAGGGCTGAGCACATATCCCTGAGTCTTGAGCTGCGCGGCTCGTCGAGCATTACACTCCCTCAGAACGAAAATGATAGCCTTGATGGCGCCAGCGAGCGCCCGGCGGAAGGACAACCCGAACGACCTATGCGCACAGTGTCTGTGAACGATGCGCTGGCTAGACAAACGGATGACCCCCAATTACAGCGCACCATTGCGAAGCATATCCTGCGCGCGATGGGGGACGTCGATAACAGTAACTGGATAGTACGGGACATGTCAAGGGCCTCTCAAGGCTGGTCATTCACCTATATCTGTAAAGGCTCGCATCAATTTTGGAACCGGCAAAATACCAAGAACCCTCCAGCATCCTTGATTGGGGAGTTCAGTTTGCGAGAACCTGATCCCGTATTGATGGGTAGGTCGAAGCATCCATAGGCCCACCATTGAGACTTCTGTTCTAACCACCCCAATGTAGGGCGCCCTGCATTTGATTGCCGTGGATCCGTCTTGGTCGCATTTGAACGCAGTAGCCGCTCCATAACAATTCGATATGAGCACACGCCTATACACCGTACAGTCGCACAGTTGAAGGAGTTGTATCCACCACCTGCGCGGGAGCTTGGTGCCGGGGCCCAGCGTCAACTTCAGCAAAAGACCCCTGTGAAGTCAAAGAAATCGAGGAATAAGAACAGCGAAAGTACGGAACAGGGTCAGGGCCAAAGTCGGCCCAAGAAGAAACGGAAAGCAGACACTGGCGAAGAGGGCGAGGCTGGCAGTCGACCCAAAAAGCCGAGGAAGAGGAAGAAGAAGGCAGAAGATGCTGCTCCCCAACAGCTTCAACAAGAGCTGGCCCATGACCCCGGCCAAGAAACTTCCCAAGGCCAATCAAACATGGAACCGGCAACCAATGTCGGATTGCCTAGCCAGCCTTCGAATCAACCTCAACCCTCCTCCCATCTTCACCCAGTAAATGTCGATGCCGCCGAAGCAACCCGTCGCTTAGCCCATGCGACAAAGTTGCTGGAAGATGCTGGAATCGATCCAAACACACTGTCTTCCGACCAGATGCACATTTTTTCTAATCAACTTCCCGAACTACAAAGAGACTCACTTGCCTTGCTTTCCAAGTATGGTGCACAGCACATTGTCATTGTTCCTCCCAAGGACAAGCCTGGAGCTGCTCCTCGGAGCCAGTCATCAACCCCGGTTCAGACGCAACAAGCCCCTCCTCCTGCCGCGGCAACCACTACGCAGGCTGGGACAAAAGACGCCCGTGCGGGTGCAACTGCAAAGGATGGTGCACAACCTTCATCTGAGCAGGCATTATTGGAAGCTGCTGCAAGTGCTCTTAGCACAGTCGCTCAAGGTTCAAAGAAAAAGGGCAAACGACCTCTGGGAAAGTCACGACTCGCGTGTTCGTGTTGCAAAAATCGCAAGGTCAAGGTAAGAACAATCTGATGATACACATCCTGAACCAATTTTTTTTCAATCTGACTGATTTTGAAATAGTGTCCCAAGGAGAGGCCAATGTGCTCTGAATGCCAAACTCATAGCTTTGTCTGCGAGTATCCTCCCACAAAATCAAGAAAGCAGAAGACAGTCTCTGAGCCGGCTGTTATTGACGACGACGAAGGAGATGATGAAGAAGTTGAAGAAGAAGAACAGGAGGAAGAAGCCCCTGACGAAGATGAGGATCAAAGCACATATTATACCGGCGTGACACAACAACCGTCGAACTCACACGCTGTCCACACCGAAGAGCAAGACACATCTTATTCACAGATGCCCGTGGCAGATATGCTGAGGCCCATCGCCCAGCATAATGCGTCGGAATCATACCCAGCACAATCCACTTACTACCAGCCAGCGACAGTCGCAACGGAACCACAAGTCGAGCCAAGTCAAGCTCGGTATTCGACTTCGAAAGCACCTCAATCTGCCACTGCACATTCTTCATGGGGTAGACCTGAGGTTCAGACCAATCATACTCATATGCCCCATGCGTCTAATGTTCCCACCAACTCTACACAAGGTGGACAAATAACAAAGCCGACAGGAAGTATATCACCGAACCGAAGTAGGCGAAACGCCAAGGAGCTGACTCCCCAGGGTCGATGGAAACTTCCCGATTCTAAACCAAAACCTACCACTGCAGGGTGGGGGAATCCTGCTGTTACTCACGCTTCTACTCATTCTGGTACTCACTCTGGTAACCTCTCCGGCACTCACTCCAGTACTCACTCCAGTACTAACTCTGGGACTCTATCCGGCACTCAGCCAGCTACCTACTCTCATTCTCATTCCCAACCCGGTACCTCTGCGACAAGTTGGATGGGCGATCAAGAGGCGCAGTCTTTTAACATGACCACCAATGAGCGAACCACTCAGGGTACTGGGCTTTATTCTCACCAAGCCCCTGTCACTTCCTCGCATTTTCAAAGTAGCACATTCCAGACTTCGAATGATAATACTTATTGGCCGAACTCTACCCAGGCTTCGGTTATGCACCAGAGCCAGCCTGCAAGACAGTCACCCAGCATGACAGCGGCAATGCATGCCCACAACCGCACGTCACCGTTCCAGGGAATAAACTCACAGCAGCGGACCACTTCAAATCAAAACCACCAGTCACAGACTTGGGCAGCCGCGAATACGCAGGGAAGGAACGCATCTTTATCCGCCGTTCCCCGGGCTACAGACACGTACCATCAACATTACTATGGTGCACTGGACATGAATCGTACGAATAGATATACATAGTCAGCACATAACTTCAATCTTCGCGATAATGAGCGAGGCAGATTAGAGATGACCATGTTTCGACAGCAGAAAGTCACACGGCTTTCGAATGCTGATGTTAATAGCAATGCTTTTTGAAGGCATGGCGATATTTTTGAAGTTTAGCGAAGAAAGAAACCGATGATTTGGCGTTGCCTTCTTCCTGTTACTGCAGGACACGGATGTTTAGCTCTCTAACGAATTTTTAGCATGGAGCTTCAGGATCAGAAGCTGTATTATGAATCGGCCTCGGATCGGGCTTTTGGTGTGGACGTGTCGAAATTCACGGGAGTGGCGACAATAGAATTGTCCACGAAGAAGAAGATACCCCTTGCACTGGCTGCAGATAACAAATAATTGAATTTCATTCCACAATCTTAACGTTTCTCCCCATCTATTATCCTCCTCCTATTATGATATGTTGTCGTTATCTCATAAGTTTACCTACATACTTGCTTACTCCTTCTTTCTCTGCGTATCCTGCATGTAGCCAGCACTCGATATTTCCACGTTCCAGACTAGAAAGTAGGCGTCGTAGAAATGGCGAATTTACTGAGCGACCGAAGCTTGGCGCCGTAAAAGTACAGGAGCCAGATACCAATAATGCCGATGACGCTCAGCCCGCCGAGCAGGCTGGTGCCCCTGGCCACGCCGAGGTTGCCAAACAGCGGGTGCGCGAAGAGGACGCTCCCGCAGGCGAGGGCGCTTCGGAAGAAGTCGTTTGCGGCGAAGAGGCTGGCGGCGTACATGGGGTAGGACAGCGGGATGTAGATGAAGATGCACTGCATGACGATGAAGACTGTCCCTCCGTAGATGGTGATGCCGATGGTGGGGACGATCCAGTGGATGGAGGCGCGGGCGGTCCAGGCGAAGAGGAAGAGCCCTATCGTGGGTCCGATGGAGGCCGGGAGGGCGGGGATGAGGCGCTCCTCCTGCTTGCCCATGCCGTACTTTGCGGTCCGGGGGTCCTGGACGAAGTAGAGGTAGGCGACGTAGCTGGCGACGCCGAGGAGGCAGGAGACGAGGACGCAGAGGAAGACGAGGCCGATCTGGCCGAGGTTCATGCCGTAGTAGACGGGGTAGACGAGGGGGAAGACCTCGAAGACTGGATGGTTTAGCTTGTGTTTCTTCGACTTGATCAAATGGGGGGAGGTTTTTAGAGGCAGTACTTACAGGAATAGTAGATGCCGTAGATGATGGCGGTGTAGACCTGGACGAACATGACTGCAGGGTCCTTGATGGTGATCTCGAGGGGCTTGATGAGCGCATCGAGAAAGACATGGGAGAACTTCATGTTTCGCTGGTCAATCTCACTCTGTGACATGAAGCGCTCGTTACCGGTGAGCTTGCGGATCCGCTGGGCTCGACGCAGGAGGATGTTGGGCGCGCTGGTCTCGGGGAGGAAGAGGAACATGGCGATGCCGACAGGAGCAGAAGCCCAGACAGATTCGTAGAGTGACCAGCGCCAGCCCTTGACTGGCACTGCGAAGCCGCTCAGAAGGGGACCCAGTGCGGCTAAAGGGCAAGTGTTAGCAAGTGTGATATTAAGAGATTCAGGGTCAAGCGATACTTACGTCCGCAGTATGCTGCAGATACCCAAGCCATCATGGCGTAAGGGAGAGCGCGGAAGCTGTAGATGTCGCCCAGAGAGGCACCACCTGATGCCAGGCAGGGGGATCCAAAGAATCCTGTGAGGAACCGGAGCACCACCAGGCCTGGGAAGTTGCCTACAAAGGCGGTGGGGATCGAGAGGATGACGAAGAGGAACATGGTTACGATGTACACTGGGTTGCGGCCGATGCGTGGGATCTCACTCAGGGGGGAGAAGAGGAGAGGGCCAACACCGTAGCCCAAGACGTACAATGCAAGACCTAGTGTGGCCACGATCGAGCTCACGCCAAATTGGTTCATGATGCCCTCCGTGGAGGGCACATAGATAGCAGAGGTTGTGTAGACGACAAATGTGTAGAGGCAAATGATGAGAGTGGTCACCAATCGTTTCTTGATGGTCCAGTTGTGGGGGTTTTCTGGATCATCAGTGTAGTACCAGTCGACCAGGATTGCTCCGTCTTTGGTTCTCCGGGGAATAATCGGTATGGACTTGGTTCTCTGAATGGCCATGTTGTTGTTCTCTTCGTCGTTATGGGCCTGCTCGATCTGGACATCCTCCATACTATCTCTTTGCGGCGGCGATGGCTTCTCATCGTCTGCTGCGCTTCTCTGAGGTTGTTTACCCTCGCCATTGAGAACTGTTGAGCCGGACTCAGAAGCTGTGGTAGCGTCAGGGGCAATTTTGGCGGATGGAGATTCCAGATCGTGAACCATTTGGATCCAAGCGTCTGGTAGTTTGAAGCCCTCCTTCTCCTCTGGATACTTTAGGTATCGGCCCCGACTCAGGAAACGGATGACCTGCCCGATCGAGGCATCCCGTATAAGGTCGGACATTGTTTCGACGAGATCTTGTATGTTTATTCTTATGTGACTTTATCGTGCAGATACTTGGGGCAAAGATTGTTGATATATAGAGGGAGCAGATAAATAATGATATGCCTCCCGTCTCCCTTGATCGAAGGAGAAAATCCAATGAAGCCTGTAAGTCGATTGCTATTCAAGCATTGACCGACAAACAGATCAGACAGTAGACATGCTGGGCCATGCTTCTTTATATAACTGCCTCGCTCACCACGTAATGGCTCCGTGCGGAATACCCCATCTCCGTTCCCATGTGCTTGACAAGCATCATTACGCCCGCTCCCACAGCCCTTCGGACTTAACGGCTCGCCCTATCCAGAACCTACGGCTGCTTGGGCTTTGAAAGCACGGAAGGTCTCGTCGCCGAAGAATTGATTACACCAAGAGAGCAGGCCGGCTGTCGCAAGCTTCACGCCGTTTTAGCTCCCGGGGGCACCTTTTGACGATCAGCTTACCAATCCCTGCACGAGGAAGCTCCTTTGTCAACACCCATTCGGAAGCTCTGCCTAAATCTGCAAGACGCTTGGCTCGGCTTGACGTGGTCTGTGAGATGAAGGCCAGGCGCTAGGGCTGACGAATGGCTTGCAGCCTTGGCGCTGGTTGGTTGAGATAGAGTTAAAGTAAGGCATCACGCCTTGTGGCTGGACCAGTCCTTCGGGTGAGATGCCGCCCCAAGGGTCTCCTCCATATCGATTGCGTCAGACGGAGATTCTGGGATAAGCACTTGGTCTAACATCGCTCGTTCCAGAGCCTGATTGGTCTCTGTGCCTCTTGGACCGTGACTGGGCTTGCTGCTGCTGACAATTAACTGTATTTGGGTAGGTATTTGGCCCGAATTCATTAAACACCACCAGAATTGATAAGAAGCTGAAGCAGTCTGACCCACTTGGGACGAGGTTTTGCGCTTAGAAATCAGACCTGTTATGTAAACTTCCCTTCCCTGGAAACAATGAGAAGAATGATTTGATTGCATTGTATTTTGAAAATGCTTGGCTCTCGTCTAACACAGCCGAGAAGCCAAGGGGGTATCTGTTATGCATATCTGTTATGTACATGTTAGATCCCACATCGATGCCGGGATGTTTGCCACCAGATCTCTGGGACACAGTCATAGCATGGCCGGACGTTCCGGCCCAGCTGTCGATCTGGATAGTTTCATCATCTGCCGCCGACGTAACACTAAGGGTAGCTCCTAGCTTTCTAGATACCGGGGATATGGCTCGGCCTTACAATTGTGCGAGGGCCGAGTCAGATGCGAGAACCGGCCTCAGATTGAGATGAGATGTGAGATGTGACGATGAGATGGAGTCCATGGACTAGCGACAACCGGCCCTAGGAGGGGTGATGCGATGCGATGAGATAAGCTGGAGCTGTACGATGTTGACTCATCGGGCCTTTGTTGACCTTGTATCCTGCCGCTCGTCCCATTTTCTCTTCATGCTCCTCAGGCGTATCACTCTCTGGACGATCTCAAGGGCATCCTGGTTCTTCGCCTCCTCCAGCTTGTCCATCATTTCCCACACACGCGTGTCTTCTTTTGCGACTGCTTCCTGGGCAAGGAGTCTTAGCCAGGGGTACTCTTCCGCCCTCTGAGCATCGAGTGCCCGGAGGGCATAACTCATGGCTATATCCAGCTCGCCCAGCTCTAAACATTTCGCAATAATTTGGCTATTGACTTGCTCTAGTCTCAGTGGCGGATCTCCGTTACCATGGAACCTTTTCTTGTAGCTGTCCAACAGGGTCCGTGTAGTTGCTGTACCCCGGCTGTTGACAATCATGTTTTGCATGGTAAAAACATCAGGGGGCTCTCCAGTCAGAGAGTCGATATCCCGGTAGAGCTCCATGGCAGCCTCGCTCCCCCTTAGGTGACTGATAACTTCAACCAGGACGGCAACTATAGCGGGTGGGACATTGCTGTCCTTGGCCGTCGTCCTCACCGCAGCTTCTAGTTCGCTTATGAGGCTCGGATCTTTGAGTAGAAGTTGGACGAGCTCTCTTGTTCCTCCTCGCGATAAGGGCACGCCGTCGCGATGCATGATATTGAATATGGAGAGTGTCGAGGCCATATTTCCATCATTCATAAATGCTTCCGCCAAGGCTTCGTAGTGATGAATTTGGACTTTGCGGCGGGATGAAATTATCCCGTATACCTCAGTAGCAAGGTCAACATCTCCTTGTTTCGCCGCCGTGGCCAAAACATTCTCCAGCACGCCGTCGGGTGCCTGTAGGTCTCCGGTGCGGAACGCGGAGTTCCACGCGAAGACTGTTCCCTGATAATGGAAGTCCTGGCTGCAGGTATCGAGGATGAAGTAAACCAGGTTGGAGATGGCGGCATCGGAGCCTTTGGCGTGCTTGCGCCGAAGAAATAGCTGCAGCATCTCGTCCAGAAAGCCCTGCTGTCCAAAGACGAGGATAAAAATATCGAAAACCCAAAGGGTCACATGGACTTTACTTTCAACCATCTGAAATAACTTCTCATAGGCCAATTCGTACTGCTTGTCGCGAAGCAACCCCAGAAGAATATATTCATTCACGTGCTGGTCTCTGGTGAACCAATGCTCTTGCATAATGGAGATGACTTGTTCCCGTAGCACATAATCGGGATGAACGGCCAATGCGACCAGCGCACTCTTGCAAATCGTCTCCGTAGGCTGTATTCCCTCTTTCTCCATCTCCCAGAATAACGAGCGCACGCCTGATGCTGAGCCTTGAGGATCGACCATGACGTCCATCATACATTCGTAGATGAATGATGAAAGGCGAGCCTTTCGATTTTGAATTAGATATTCGACAAGCTGGAATATTCTCTGATGGCGATCGATATCCCCCTTGGGCAGCTTGGATCCTTCGGGGTCCCGTATTAGAGCCAGCGCCTCGCTAATCGT